TTGCAGTGATGATAGATCAGAGCTTGCCAAGAGTTTAAAGTATGTGTGGGGTGTTGAATAGCAGAAGCACAAGGATTTTAGTGTAAGTGAAACTATTCTGCCTGGTACTTTTAATAGTAAATACATGACACTATGCATATTTCAAAACTCATAAAACTTTACAGAACAAAAATTAAATGTAAATGTATACAACTTAATAAATTATTTAAAAGAATGAATGATCTCAAGATGAAATAAAGACTGTGAAAAAAAGAATCTGTTACAACTATATAAAGCAAACTCAATGATAGGAGTAGGGATAAAAGGTGCTGACCTGGGTAGGTTTCAAAATGAATGAAATCTGAAATACGAAAGGCAAAATGAACTGTACATACACTCTGTATTCTGATTCATAAAATCGTTTCCCATGGGGATATGAGTTAACAATTTTGAAATCACTCTATATGCATAGTAAAATTGAATAACAATGCAAATGCACGGTGGACAGCAAGAGCACGATTTCACAGTGCTGAAATAGGATGTAAGTTTTTAAAGCAGTAATATTCAATGTGATTCTTAACAACATATAGAACTATAGCGTAAAGGAAAAAGGAGAAAATATGTTTTTTTCTTATTTAAAATTTGTATATTTGGTATATACTAATGCAACATAATTTTAAATTAAAAAATTAAGAAATTATTGTGGGTTTTCAATTTTATTTTAAATTCTGGGATGCATGTGCAGGATGTGCAGGCTTGTTACATAAGTAAACGTGTCATGGTGGTTTGCTGCATTTATCAACCCATCACCTGGGCTTTAACCCCCACATTCATTAGCTGTTTATCCTGATGCTGTCCCTCCTCCTGCCCCCTCAGCAGGCCCAGTGTGTGTTGTTCCCCTTCCTGTGTTCATGTATTCTCATTGTTTGGCTCCCACTTGTAAGTGAGAACATGCAGTGTTTGGTTTTCTGTTACTGTGTTAGTTTGCTGAGGATAATGGCTTCCAGCTCTATCCATGTCCCTGCAAAGAACATGATCTGATTCCTTTTTATGGCTACATAGTATTCCATGGTGTAAATGTACCACATAAGAAACTATATTTTAATGAAAAGAGCAACTTAAGTCAGTAGTACTCAAACTTTTAGGCCTCAGAAACCCTTGATACTCAGAAAATTACCTAACATCAAAAAGGATTTGTTAAAATGTGAGTTATACCCATTGGTATTTCCATATTATAATACCCATTGGTATTTCCATATTATAAATTAAAACTGATATTTTAAAATATTCCCTTACTAATTTAAAATAAGCCCATGCATGTCGACATAGACAACATATTTTTATAAAAATGAATAGTTTACAAAATCAAAGTATTTAGTGAAAAAGGTATCGTTTACTTTTTTTTTTGCTAATCTCTTTTATGTCTATCTAATAGAAGGTAGCTGGATTTTTGTATCTTCTTATGCATTTAATGTGTTGCAATGTTGCATATTTTATAGTCTCTGGAAAAATCTACTTACAATGATATGAGAATAAGATTTTAGAAGGCAAGTAGCATCTTAATGTGATTGTGAACATAGTTTTAGTCTTGAAAACCTTGTACAATATTTTAGGGAAATTAAGTGGTCTCTGTATCATACTTTGAGAACAATTAGCTTAAGCAGAGTCACAGAAGAGAGGAAACACAGAATGTGCAGGGAAATAAGGGAAAGAAGGCATAGGTTATTAAAAGTAGAATCAAATTCAAATGGTGAGAACCACAAAAGACCCCAAATAGCCAAAGCCATCTTGAGCAAAAAGAACAATGCTGAAGGCATCACATTACATGACTTCAAAATATACTACAAAGCTATAGTAATCAAAACAGTATGGTACTGGCATAAAAACAGACATATAGACTGGTGGAAGAGAATAGAGAGTCCAGAAAATCAAACATTTACAGACAACTGATTTTTTGACAAAAGGTGCCAAGATACACAATGGGGAAAGGACAGTCTCTTCAAACAATCATGGAGAGAGAACTAGATAGTCATATGTGGGAGAATGAAAATTGACCCTTATTTCACCCATTATACAATAATTAACTCAACATGTATCAAAGATTTAAACATAAAACCTCAAACTGTAAAGCTACTAGAAGAAAACACTGGGAACATGCTCCATGACATTGGTCTTAGCAGTGATTTCTTGGAGATGATCCCCAAAACACAGATGACAAAAGCAAAAATAGACAAATAGGATTACATCAAACTAAAAGTAGCAAAGGAAAAAATTCACAGAGTGAAAAGACAAACCACAGAATTGGCAAAAACATCTGCAAATCATGTTTGAGCAAGACCTAATGTAAAAAATATACAACAAACTCAAACTACTCAAAAACATGAAAACAAATAAACCTCTTATAAATTGGCAAATGAACTGAATAGGCATTATTTTTAAAAAAAGACATACAAATGACCAACTGATATATGAAGAAAAGCTCAACATCTCTAATTATCAGAAAAATGCAAATTAAAGTCATAATGAGATGTCACTTCACACCTGTTAGAATGGCTATTATCAAAAAGATGAAAGATAACATGTGTTGGCAAGAATGTGAAGGAAAGGTAACCTTTGTACCTTCTTGGTGGGACTGCAAATTAGTACATTGATTTTGGGAAACACTATGGAGGTTCCTCACAAAAACTAAAAATGCAGTTAACATGTGATCCAGCAATCCCACTTCTGGGTCTATATCTTAAGAAATTGAAATTGTTACGACAAAGCAATGTCTCTATTCCCATTGCATGAATGTTTCTGCATTATTCACAATAGCCAATATATAGAGACAACCCAAGTACACATCAGGGACTGAATGGATATAAAAAATGTGGTATGTATATATAATGGAATACTTTTCAGCCTTAAAAAAAGTGGGAAGTTCTGTCATATGTGACAACATAGAGGAATCTAAAAGACATTATGCTAAGTGAAGTAAGTCAGGCACAAGAAGACAAATGGAATATGATGTCACTTATATGTGATATTTACAAAGTCAAAAACAGGGAAGTAAGGAGTAGAATGGTAGTTACCAGGTGCTGGGGTGGTGGAAGGAAAGAGGGTAGAGCAGAAAAAAAATAAAGATGTTGGTCAAAGGATAGGAAATTTCTGTTAAATATAAAAAATAAACAGTTCTGGTGATCTGCTGCACAGCATGGTGATTATAGATAATAATAATGTATGATATATGTCAACATAGCTAAATGAGAACATTTAAATATTCTAACCACAAATAAATGATGAATATTTGAGGTGATATACTATTATCTTAATTTGATCATTTCATGATGCATACATTGTATTGAAACATCACATTGTATCCGAAAATACAGATAATTATTACTTGTCAATTAAAAATAAAATTAAAGTTAAAAATGTAGTTATATAGGAAGTGATATATATGTTAATTATTTTGGTTTAATGATTTAATAATGTATACATATATCAAAATATGTTGTGTACAGTAAATATATGTAAGTTTTGTCTATTATGTCTTAATAAGGATGGGAAATTTTTTGTAAGTTTGAATGGTGCAATAATGTGGCAAAATTAAGAATTAACTGAAAAATAAATGGAAAAATACTGGAAGGGTGTGAATGTCATGGAAAGTTTGATTGCTGTTTTTGTTTTTTGTTTTTTGTTTTTTTTACAACTATCATCATGAACAGGTCCTGTGCAGAAAAGTGACAATATATAATTTCTTAAGAAAATACATTTTAATAACTATAATTTATCTGCTTAAAACATTGGAAGTCATAGATCAAAAATCAGAGGGTATCATTTTAATAGTCCAGGTGAAGTATAATGAGAACCAGTAGCGATTTTAAAAGGGTGCCGAATTTTATAGATAATATAAATGTAGAATGAAAAGCACTTAGGAATTTATCGATATGGGATAGAAAGAAAAGGAGAAAGATATTGTGGACAGGAATTTGAAGCATTTATTTGAAAGAGGCCCATATAACACTATACATATTCTGTATCTATATCTTGCAGAGAAAACTTGTATTGGACTTTACAATTACAGATTTTTTTTTTTTCCAAATAAGTTTAAAACAAGCAGAAATCTTGGCAGTAGTATTCGCCTTAGGAAGTTGGATACCTATCTTTAATAAATCCCTTGAATTTAGGGCTGGGATCATACAAAGGGTATGCTTAGAAAACTATATATCCAGGTGTGGTGGCTCACACCTGTAATCCCTGCACTTTGGGAGGCCGAGGCAGGCATATCAAGAGATCAGGCATTTGAGACCAGCCTGGCCAACATGGTGAAATCCTGTCTCTACTAAAAATACAAAAATTTGCCAAGTGTAGTGGTGCATGCCTGTAATCCCAGCTACTTGGGAGGCTGAGGCAGGAGAATCACTTGAACATGGGAGGTGGAGGTTGCAGTGAACGGAGATCACCTCACTGTACTCAGCCTGGGTGACAGAGTGATACTCTGCCTCAGAAAAAAGAAAAAGATCAAGAGAAAAAGAACACTTTGTGTAGACTCTAAGGCAGGTTTTTTTTTTTTTAACTTTGCACTGGAGTAACTATGCATAGATTCTTATAACTTAATTAAGATGGTGCATTTGGTTAACTGTAGGGGTTTTGTTTGGCCGAGTGGGGTATAAAGACAGAAATACAAAGCTGATTTTATTAACATAGAAAGGTTTACAAAGATGGTGTTTATGAGCTTTAAAATATGGTGTTTATGAATTGTGAGCCCATCCCAAATTATACATCGAAAGCCCATCAGTGAGTACCTCAGAATATAACTGTATGTGGGATGGGGCCTTAAGAGGTTACTAAGGTTAAATGAGGTCATATGAGTGTGCCCTAATCCCCGTGACTGTATTTGGAGATAAGACCCTGAGGGTGACTAAATCAAATGAGGCCTACAGAGTTGGAACCCAATCCTACAGACTCCGTATAAGACATAAAAAGACAAATACTGTATGATCTCACTTATGTGTAGAAATTAAAATAGTCAAACTTACAGAAGCAGAGAGTAGAATCGTGATTGCCAGCAGCTGGGGGTAGAAGAAATGGGGTGGTGGTGATCAAAGTGTTCAAAATTTCAGCTCTGCAAGATAAGGAAGTCTTAGAGACCCACTGTACAGCACCTTGCCTATAGCTAACAATACTGAATTGTATACTTAACATTTGCCAAGAAGGTAGATTGTAAAGTTTTCTTACCACAAAAAATAAAAGTAAATAAATAAATGAATAATAAAGGTGTCAGGAGAAAACTTTGAGAGGTGACAGATAAGTTTACAGATTTAATAGTGAAAATGGTTTCACAGGTTTATATTTATCTCCAAACTCATGTTGTATACATTAAATACACATAATTTTTATGTCAATCATAACTCAACAAAGTGGCTTACAAAAATGAACTTCAGTGATAGATGCCCAACAAGTGATCATTTATGGGTGGTATGAATTTCAGGAAAAGGTCAGATATGCACTATTTACTGTAATAAAATAAAAAAACAAAGACAGTCATTAATTCTAGTCCTTGACTTCCTGCTTTCTGAATGTAGAATTGAATTTCCATACCTCATTAAGGTTGAACATGGTTACATAACATGCTTTAGCTGAGGAAATGTAAGCAAAGAGGTCTGTGTCTTTAGAATCAAAATATTTAAATTTCTTTTTAAATTTTACGTTCAGGGAGTCCGTGTGTATGTTTATTACATGGATATACATTCCATAATGGAGGTTTGGGGTTCCAGTACAGCCATCATCCAAGTAGGGAGCATTGTATCCAATAGGAAAATTTTAAACCCTCATTCCCTTTTCAATCTCTCCTCTTTTGGAGTCCCCAGTGCCTATTATTTCCAACTTCATATTTTAACATCCAGTTTTCTATACTGTGTCTTTTCTATTGCCATGGTCACCAGCAACATTGAAAATAGTGGCTGCTCCAGTAGCCCACAAGGAGATATAGAGCAGATGCTCCAGCAGAATCATGACATACATAAAACATGTGCAATGAATAAACCTTTGCTGGTAAAAGCCACTGCAATTTGGTGGAGGGGATTGTTACCAAGCAAAATACAGTTATTCTGATTAATGGAGCCAGCTTGTTCAACATTTAAATGAGTCCTCTGTCTGTTAGACATATAAACTACTTCTCTTTCTCTGTTTAAAACTAAATTTAATCTCTGACAAGAGTCTTTTTTTTTAATGATAATCTTGTAGAACAAAAGGGTTTATCCTCTCAGATTATGAAAAACATTTATCCAGCATCTAATATAGAATGAAAATGTTTTCACATGCATCTTGTTATATATATCTTTTAAATATATATTATTGTTTCCATTTTACATTTATTGTAACTAAAGATCAAAAGTTTAGTAAAATGTGCAGATTGTATAACTAGAAAAATAATAGACTCTCACTTTGAGCTAGCTTCTAACTTTAATGTCATTGCTCTGTCCATATGCTACAATGTCTTTGGTTAATCTAAAGACAGAACGTTGACTAGTGCTACCTAAGGGAAGTTTCTTATTCTCCTTATTCTCTTAAAAATCTTTAAAAATTGCTTATTGAATGTCTGACAATGTGTCCAAAATTTCCAGATAATTTGAATGATGTTACCTTCCTTTATTCAGGGTAGATTTATTTTGGGGCAGGAATTTAGCATATAGTAGTTTGACTTTTTTGCAATCAAGATTAACAAAGCAGACTATTTAATTAACTGACTTTTACTTATTAAGGGCATATATTTTTATTAAGCAACTAAAAATATGGGGTATTTATCTGTTGTTTTGTTTTGTTTTTAAGATCTCCCTGCATCAATTTTCATGTTTTTATCATTTGAGACTACTAAAATATATGCTTAACATTAAAAAAATAATGTTTAGAAACTCATTCAATTTTTTTAGATCTTCTAGTAAGTTTTAAAATAAAGATGATCTTTTCTTCTACGTTTTGTAAACAATCTCTTCTTTATATTCTTATGCCCTAGGAGGCTGAGTTCTCCCAAAACAAGGTGTTTAATATAAGTTCTAAGAGAACCTGATCCTCTTGCTTTATGGAACAATGATGAAAATCCCCCCACCCTCCCAAAAAATCAAAAAGGAGATGAAGAGCTATTTTTATGCCACTCAATAAGATAGACTCTTTACCCATTTTGAAAAAGGAAGACAATTATAGTCAGACCAATCATTTTCCTAGACTTTCCCACAGGGAAAAAAATCAATGATGTTTAAATTAAAAAGACAAAAACTATGGTTAAACTTCATTTTCTTTTTCACTTCCTGGGAGTATGATTTGAATTTGCCAAATAATCTATTATTATACATTCCTATTTTTAAAATAAAAAATGATACCTCTCTAACAAGGTTATAGAAAAGATTTTTTAAAAACTACATAGCATAACTAGAACAGTGTTTACCATAATGATGATTGCATTTTCTTTCCTTCAGATCCTCGAATAAAAGGAACCACAATATTCAGATTTTTCCTTCAGATCTGCAAATTAAAGGAGTCACAGTGTCTGTTCCTTAGAGCTCCAGTTAGACAAACCTTAACAAAAAAGTATCAAAATACATACTCTGTTTCATCTGGATTGAACAGACAATTTAAAGTTGCTTCATCCATTTTAGTCATGGAATGTGTCACAGTGGAAGATTCTGTATTTACTTGGCCATGAGAACCATTACCCACTTTCCAAGTGGGCAAAACAGCCCAACTGGTACTTTATGCTCCCTTTATTTCATAAATCTAAAGAAAGCCTTTGCTAAAGGAATATAAGTTATGTTTAAGTCATCTTAACCTCCATTTGCTAGTATTCTAAGCAATGATCATAGACACAGAGACACAATAAACATAGACACAGTTGAAACCTCACAGAAGCTTCCAATCCCAGAGCCAATTTATCTACAGATAGTCCTAGGTAAACTGTTTACCATTTTGATGAAAATAGGCACAATATATGAAATAGGTTTACTTTTTAATAAACTTTATTTATATTTTCTTTTTTTTCAGAGACAGGGTTTCACTCTGTTGTCCACAATGAGAGGAAGTGGTGTGATCATAGCTCATTGCAGCTTTGAACTCCTGAGCTCAAGTGATCCTTCTGCCTCAGCCTCCTGAAGAGCTGGGACTACAGGTATGGGCCATCACATCTAGCCATTTGTCTAATTTTATTTATTTTTATTTTTTAGAGATGGAGTCTCCCTATGTGGCCCTGGCTGCCCTGAAACTCCTGGCCTCAGGTGATCCTCCCGCCTTGGCCTCTCAAACTACTGAGATTGTAGGTGTCATCCGCAGCACCCAGCCTATATTTTCTAATGAAAAAACATGTACATATATACTGTGGTGAATTTAGAAAGACATAGAAAACTAAGAAAATAGAATAAGAAATTATATAATCTCATAAAGGCAACTCTAAACTTTGATAACACATTGTTTGTGAAGTGGAAAGATATTAACTGTTTTCTCACTAAAAAACTAACATTCATATTTATATTTAGTTATATGTGCTGAATTTATATAAAAATATTTAACAAGAAAAATGAGACAATATTGTATATATTGCTGATTTAGTTTTTTTGTTTTGTCTTTTAAGACAGGGTCATACTTTGTTGCCCAGGCTGTAGTGTAGTAGTGCAATCTCAGCTCACTGCAGCTTTAACCTCCTGGGCTTAAGTGATCCTCTCACCTCAGCCTCCCCTCCCAGGTAATTGAGGCTACAGGCATTGCCAGGATATTTTTTTGATTTTTTGTAAGACGAGTTATCACTATGTTTCCCTAGGCTCAAGCCATCTTCCTGCCTACTTGTTCAAAAGTGTTAGGATTGCAAGTGTGAGCCACTACACCCAGACTTGATTTGCTTTTTGATTCGATTAAACATACATACATTTCTAACATTTTACTATATTGTATTTTAGTGTGTACCATGTTAGATCTGCTTCTAAGAGACATTTAATTTTTTTCATTTTCTTTTTTTTCTAAACATTACCATTCTGAACCTGTTTACTCATATGTACAACCTATTTAGCAAAAATCTAACCGAATTGGAGAACCTTAACCAAAATTTCCAAAATATTTTAAAGCTTTTAAAATGTAGGCAAACAGTCCTCTGGAAATTGCATAAACATTAATGTTAGATAATACCATCCCTATAAGAAAGTGTTTATTTTCCTAAACTCTCACCAATATTAAGGATTGGTGGTATTAATATTGAATATTAATATTGTATATTTAGTCCATTCGACAGCCTAAAAAAATAGCAACAATATAAACCAATTCTAATTATTTTCTTTGAAAGTTAATGACTTTGACCAGAAGTATTTTTGTGTTCATTATTCATATGTGTGGCTTCTTTTGGTTGTCTGTTGAAATTCTTTCTCTAATTGTCTTTTTTCTCTAATTATCTTTTTTCTTTCATTGTGGAATCCTGGATTGAAGGACAACTTTTTTCTCTCATCACTTTAAAGATATTAATTCACTGTCTCCTGAGATTCTACCTTTGCATTCCCCAATAAAATGTCAGCTGTCATTCATGTTATTTTCCTCATGCAATGTATTCTTTTCTCTTGTGATTGATTTTAATATTTAAGCTTTATTTTAGCTTACAGAAATTAGGATATAATTTGCTTTAGTGTGGCTTTGTCCTTATTTTGATTGGGGTTAGTTCCTTGAATATATAGATCAACGTTTTTTGTCACATTTGGGAAATATTTGACCTAAATTTTTTTCTAATTTCTTTTTTTCTGCCCAGTTGTCACTTTCTTGTCTTTCTGGACTCCAATTACATTTATGTTGGACCATTTGATGTTACATCAGATTGTTGGTACTCTTTTCGTTTGTCTTTAGAGGGCTGTTATTTTTTTCTTGATATAGCTTCACATTCTCTTCCTCTTTCTTCTGCCATGTGCCATGTGCAGTTAAGCACATCCAGTAATTTCTTTAGTTTCACTTGTAGTATTTTTACATCCTAGAACTTTCATATAATTATATTTCATTTATTTTGTTTTATTCCTATCTGCTTTTTTATTAAGATATTTTCTTTCAATTCTTTAAACATTTTTTTAAACATACTTAATCATTGCTCTTTCAAAAGTCCTTGTA